AGCCAACGTGGAGGTTCGACGGTTCAATCGTGGGTCTTCATGATGAACGTCTTCTTCGATGCAAATTACGTCGAGTCGGACGCAGCGAAGATACAATACGCCATCTCGCTGCTACGGGCCCCCGCCATGGACTGATGGCGAGTCATCGTGACGTCGCCACGCGCCTACGAGCCGCTGTCGCAAGAGGAAGGGCCCACGGGTCCAGCCGTCACCTGGAGTTCATTTTGTGAAACCGCCCAGTACAGCATGTGGGATGCGTGGTGCGCAGGGCCTCGGGCGCGCTTCGAGCCGATCGCGGCTTCTATCTGAGCGCGTCAGAAACTGCATACTTGGCGACAACTTGGGTCGGTCCAAGATTATACAAGCGGTTTTCTCGCACTATGCGAGCAAGTCGGCTACATGCACGAGGCAGAGCGGGTGGACCGTTACGTCGGAGGGCTGAAGCCGGACATCCCGCACGAAATCATGCTATGCGGGCTATCGAATTTCAACAAGATCCTCGCGCTCGCCGAGAAAATCGACATTTTGCGCCGTCCGAGATCGAGGTCCTACTACGGACACCGCCCTCGGGGGCAGACCGAGCACGCCACCGTACACGTCGTTGCGACGAATGCAGCTGCTGTGCCATTCAAGGGGCGCTGCTTTGCTTGCAATAGGCCGGGCCATCGCAAGAGTGAATGCCCAGAGGAGCACAGACGCCACGGAGCAGAGCAGGGGAGGGAGTCTCAGAGGCAGGGAAACGCCAGCAGTCAGTAGAAAATGGGCCAACTACTGACGAGACAACCTGCTCGCCCAACCTCACCAACCCTCACTGAGTCACAGTACCGATTCACGCCATCGATCGGGCTCGGATGAATAAGGAGGGTACATCGACGGATTGCCCAATACTGATCTACGGGAAAATACAGGGGACAGCAGTGAAGATTTTTATAGACGGAGAGGCAAGCCACAGTTTAGTTAATACCGCAACTGCACGGAAGCTGCAACTGGCGCTTAGCCGTTGTTTACCGGAGATTGATGCACGCTTAGTTGACGGCACGCCACTGGCAATACGGGAAAAAGTGGAGAGGGTGAAAGTTCGATGCGGGGGGAACTTCGGGTTTACACAGGAAATGCTCGCGACGACACTGGATGGGCACGACATTTTACTGGGACGTGACTGGCTGCGACGCTACAATCCGCGAATCGACTGGACGACGGGTAGCTGCACTGTGCGAAATAGTGGTAACTGGGTCGAACTACCTTGCTGGCGGTCACCCAAGTCTTCGACGGTCCACGTCAACGCCATCACAATGAAACGGGCCGTCGCCACTGGAGCTGACGTGTACGCGGTGGATATCGCATTGGTAGGAGAAGCAGAGCAGCCGAGCGATTTTCAGAAACTGCTGGCAGCCGTACCGCCCGAATTATAGGAACTACTGAAACGGTACCCGGGGATTTTTCCGGACGACTTGCCGGAGGGATTGCCACCTCTGCGAGCACACGACCACCGCATAGAGCTAGAACTAGGGGCACAACCAACTGTACAGCGACAGTTCAGACTGACAGAGCCCGAGCTCGACGAACTGAGGAAGCAGATAGACTACCTGTTAGAGAAAAAAACTCATCCGACCGACCTAGTATTACTCGACACTCAAAACCTCCGCCTACCCATCACTCCAAAACTCTGCCCCCGATATTGCGGGCCATTTCGCATCAGCCACGTGATCACCCCCGTCACCGCCCACCTCCTCCTCCCTGCTGACTGGTACGTCAGCCCGTCGTTCCACGTCAGCCTGCTTCGCCCATATATCCCATCCACCAACCAACTGCCTCGCAACCGCCCCGCCAGCATGACACGACCGCCGACAGAGCCAATCATCACGCCTGAAAAGATACTGAGCCAACGAGTTCGTGACCCACGGGGAGCATGCAGGATTGAATTTCTTATCCGCTGGAAAGACTGCACGCCCACCGAAGACAACAGGGTTCCCCTGGATAGAATCGAGAACCACCCTGTCCTCACCGAGTACCTACGCAGCCGAAACTTTCGAGATGTACATGCGCTCTCGTAAGGATGCCCCCCTTGGGGAGGGGGGTAGTGTAAGGAAAAATCATTTTCCTTACTTCGCGCCCCTGCATTGCGCGTACATGATCATTCCCGCCATCGGCACCCAACAGTGAAACGTTACCCGCTCGCGACACTCGCCTCGACTACGACTCCCGCCACTGTTCACGATGCGACCCAACCTCACGGTTCGGTTGGTAACCCGCTCTCCGGACCTCCGCCTCGACATTTCCCAACCTTGGCGCTAGGCCCGTAGCGCACCCCATTTTCTCGCGTTACCGTTACCACGCTAGCTTCGCTATATATTCTTCGCTCATGCCTTCGCTCATTGTATTGTTTGCTTCGATAGTGCAATTCTCGCTCGCTCGCTCGATTGCACTCGTAACAATGGTCCAGAAGTTCCTGATACTATCCATGGCTGCCTTGGTGGTTGCGTCATTGTCATTGTCGTGGTGAAGCATCGTTTAGTGAGTACGAGGTGAAGATTGACTCGAGGGTCATAGATTGACTAGAGAACACATGTGGTTCTTGTCTTTTTGCTGAAACACTCCGTTGTACGGCCAGCTCTGCGTGTTTGGGCTGACTTGAGGAAAACAGACTGGATCGATAGAAAAGGGGAGTCAATTACTGTAGAAAAGGTGTTCCGCTCCTTGACAAGCTACCTCCACTACTGGACAAGCTCAAGTCAATTGATCTTCGGAATCCGGCAGCTTCCATCCAGGTCCTCGCTAGCGTGTGAAACTACAGATGTTCTGGAATAAGAGCCCGCGCTAACAGTGTCCGTTTTCAGAAGCGAGTAGCTTTTTCCTATACTGTATCTCCTAGGTGTAGCCCCTCCTCTACAAGCCCTTTTGGCGGGATTTTTGCCGCGTGACGGGCTTGATAAATGTTCCGGGCACAAAATCAGCTCCGCAGCCAATCGGAGGACACGAATCGAACCAAACCAGAATTCGCGTAAATTATTTGGCTAGGCAGATTGTATATTCAAAAAAATGTTTCTTGAATAATATCTTGCTTATCTGAACCGCAATATCTTCTACATTCCATCGCGTGTTTCACACAACGGGAGACGATAACATCTCATGTATTTCGCGGACCAGCTCAAAAAAACTAAGAATTTCATAAATAATGGCATCAAACAGTAAGATTTTGTGTATTTCTGCCCGTCGGTTACGCGACGATGACCATAGGGGAGAACCGTGCGATGCGAAGTTGAAGCAAGCGCGGTCACAATGTACGAACTAGTAACGAAGAAAAACCACTTTCCATGCAAATTTCCTGAATTTGGGACTCTGAGTTTCGCCACAAAGGCCGCGCGGCGCGTGTTTTGCCCCGGGATCTTAAAACCAGGGTGCACATTCAACGCGGTTCGGCTTGAGATGTTGGGAAGGGGGTTTGGAGAAAAACAGTGATTGGCTCACGAGGGGCGACAAAAAAATGATTCCGCTAGAGCTTCGGGCATTTCGTAGGTGGCGGGAGGGGGTGAAATGGCGGGAGTGGGTGAAACCGAATGGCGGGAGGGATGAAACAGATTGGCGGGAGGGGGGGGAAACGAAATTGCAGGGGAGGGGGGAAACGAAATTGCGGGGGCGTGGGGAAACGAAATTGCGGGGGAGGGGGGAAACGAATTTCGACTTGAAGGGGTTGAAAGCACACCTCGTAACCCACTCAGTCAAGGGATAACCTTTGATGCACATTCAGCTGAATGTGCACCCCGGTTTTAAGCGAGAACATCTGTACCCTGGGAAACTGGTGTGGTCAAGGAAGCTAGGGTTACTCTTGAACTCCCCCATCACCATCCCAGAAGTGTGGGAAAAGCAACGAGGGCAGGCTGGCGCTGAGGAACGACGATGTCATTCCCAAGTAATAACGAAGCGACACCCCGGCCCCTGGCCGCTTCCCACCCATGTCTCCGCGAAAATTTCACACTTCTGCCCAGCCCAGCCTCGTCAGGTCGGGGAGCCAGAGAGCGGAGCAAGCATCCAGCAAGCGACTCAACCATTCCGCAGCCATCTAAAACCCGCAGAGCTTCCGCCATTATTGGTGCTGACGCGCATCCCTCATCTACCAACTGCACTTCAGTGGGCCCTCCCCCTATTCCATCCCGCCCCCTCCCCCTCCCCTCGACCTCCCGCTTCCCCTCCCTCCCCCACCATCTGACCTGACATGACAACGCGTCTCGATCGCCTACATCGGCTCCCCTGGCCTCCCTCCCCCGCCGCCCTCACCTCCCCCCCATTTCCTCCTTCTCACTCCTCACCTCACCACCCCCAGAACAACGTTCTCATTTCAAGGCCCAACCGCCGCGACAACCCCAAGGGTTCGTTCGCCCCATCCCATCCATCGCAGCACCTCAGCTGAACTTGTTATAGGGAGCAAGATGGTGACCTGACCACGCTGCCTCTCCTTGTGTGGTAGAGTCCCCATGGACTAAGATTCGACGGATTAGCTTTTAGCTTACTCGAACAGGAGTAGCGCAAAAAGTTGTGACATTAGAACCGAGTAGTATTTAAAATTTTATCGTAATTCCCAATCCAAGAAGTCGAGGATGGAGGATTGGAGCAACAACGCGTGGCTGCTGGAAGCCGACGACGGCGGATTCCATGTCGACGATCGCGTTTACGAAGAGGACGAAATCGGTTACGCCGTCGACGTCGACGACGAGTCGCTTCCCTGGGAGCAGCATGTGCGTTGAGGCTTATGAGGCGCCTTAAAAGCCAGAACGTCTGTACAGGCTCTCTTGTACAACTCAGCAAGTTGCTGAGGCGTGTTTCAGATTCTACGCTCCTGAGAGGCTCTCAACTAGGACATATATTGAATGTCCGGATTCTTAAAGAATCTTGTTCGTCGCGTAGTAGCATGGCTTCAGTGAAAGTCTGAGATAGATCAGGTGGCGTTTTTCATATTCCGCGTAGGGCATATTCCTAGAGTGGTCAACGAATCCTGCACCATCATGCTTCTATTCAGACCGCGCTCTTATGTCGCTCGAATTCCTTTGCTCTCCCCTCATCCACCCGCTTCTTCGTTCCGTCTCCTTGCCGAGGAAACGTCGACGTGTCCAGTCCGTGCGAGCGACTCGGTGCGGAGATCCTGCGACCCATCTCCTATCCGTTTCGCGCCAGCTGTCGCACTAACTCGGCTCCTGCCACTCCGTTTGCCCTGTTTTCCTTCCTACCCGCTCTCCCCATTTCTTCCGTGCTCTCGTCCCATCCCAATCCCCCTTCCTGTCAGGTCGAGCGAGTTCAGACGGCAACGGGCGTGGTGCAGGTGACGGTGTGCGGCGATCGCGGCAACCCGCCTCTCATCACCTATCACGACGTTGGGCTCAATCGTGAGTCCCTCTCATAACCTCTCATAGCCTCTCATAACCTCTCATAGCCTCTCATAACCTCTCATAGCCCCTCTCATGACGCAATCGTGAGCGCCTCCCTCCCTCCTTGCTACCCCCCATCGCGCCGTCCCACCCTCCGCGCGTCAGATTCCACGTGTTTCCAAGGCCTCCCCGATACCCCCCATCTCACTCTCCCCTCCCCGATACCCCCCCATCTCACTCTCCTCTCCCCGCTATCCCCCATCCCACCCTCCGCGCGTCAGATTCCACGTGCTTCCAAGGCCTCATGCTCTGCGCCGACACTTCCGCGCTGCTTCTACGAAACTTCTGTATATTCCACGTCGACGCGCCGGGTCACGAGGTAAGCACGGCCGTCCTGGGCTGCCTTCGAAGGAGCCGTCAGTTCTCCACAGAGGTTGTTTTTGAGGACGAGGGAAACGATTTTTGACGTGTCTCGAAAATCGTTCCGCAGAGGCCGTTTTTTACGACGGGGAAACGAATTTCGATGTCTCGATAATTGTTGTGAGGTCGGGGAAAACGGCGCTGGTATGAAGAGTTGTGGCGAGAACCGCTCACCCTGTAACCATGCGCTGTCCCTCTCCCTTCCTGTGCGCCGCGCGCAGGAGGACGCGGAGGAGATCCCCCCGTCGCGCCCGCTGCTCTCCGCGGACGATCTGGCGAAGCAGGTGGCGGAGGTGGCGCCTCATTGTGTACCCGGACCTAACCCCCCCCCTCCCCTCCATTCACTTTTCCCCCTTCCCATGTGCCGCGAGCAGGAGGATGCGGAGGAGATCCCCTCATCACAGCCGCTGCTGCGCGCGGACGATCTGGCGGAGCAGGTGGCGGAGGTCGCGCGCCACTTCGCGCTCGCTGACGTCACGCTCATGGGCGTCACTGCGGGCGCCTACGTCCTCACGCTCTTCGCTGTACGCCATCGCTGCACGCTTCCCTGCCTGCCTCGCTGCACGCCTGCCTGCCTGCCTGCCCGCCTGCCTGCCTGCCCGCCTGCCTGCCTGCCTGCCTTCCTGCCTGTCTCCGTCTGTCCGTCCGTCTGTCCCCTTCGTCTCCCCACCTTGTCCCTCCACTCCTGCCACTGCACCCTCAGCCATAGCACCCTGGTGCAATACCTTATTCTCGTGCCATGTGTCCTTTTCCTCCCCCCATTTTTCCTTCGTCCCACCTATCCAACCCCTGCCACCGCGCCCGCAGTTATCCCACCGCCATCTGGTGCGCGGGCTCATTCTCGTGTCTCCTCTGCTCTCGCCGCCCTCCTGGTCCGAGTGGGCGCACAACAAGGTGAGCCGTGAGGCGTGCCGCATGTAGTGCGGCGTGCAAGAAGCTATGCAGTGAGGCACACATTTCATCGTACAACGAAGCACGCTATAAGGTGGACGATATCCATTTCTGGTGCACAGCAGTGTGATTGCTGGCCCCTTTTCCCCAATTTCTTCCTGTCCTCCTTTCCCACTCCCCCCCCATCTCTTTCGATTTCCTTGGAGCAGGTAACCATGAGCGTTCTCTCCTATTACGGCATGACGTCATACATCAAGGACTCGCTATTCGATCGATACTTCTGCCCCGTACGTGCCTCTCGCCTCTCGCTTCTCGCTTCTCTCCTCTCGCGTCTCTCCCCCCCCACCTCTCTCCTGCTCCGTTCCATCCCGCCTTCATGCCGTCACGGGTCATCTCCCATTCCCCCCCACTCCCGGCCCCCACATCCCCCTTCTCCTGCCTCACATGCTTTCGCACATGTTTTTTTCCTTCTCTTGTTCTCGTTCCCCTCTCAACCTTCTCTCCCATCCTCCTCCTCCCCCTCCTCCTCCTCCTCCTCCTCCTCCTCCTCCTCCTCCTCCTCCTCCTCCTCCTCCTCCTCCTCCTCCTCCTCCTCCCCCTCCTCCTCCTCCCCCTCCCCCGCCCCCTCCCCCTCCCCCTCTCCCCCTCTCCGCACCTCCCCTTCCCCCATGTGTCCTGCAGGCCACGGCAGGCTTCCACGGGCCGGCATCAGATGCGCTCATGTCCTTCCGCAGGGTGAGTCTGCTGGGAATGTATCGAGGGGAAGTCTGCTCAAGAGTGGGGAGGACAGAGGGCTTGAAGTGATGCCACTTCCGCCCGCCTGCTAATACTTAAGGCCACCATCACTGCATGCTTTTTGAGACGTCTCAAATATCGTCCTTACGAGACGCCCCTCTCCTTTTCTGGCTGTTTGTTTCTTTTGTTTTCTCTTACCTTTCTCTCGTTCAGGAGCTAGATTATCTTGAGCCAGAGAATCTCATGCGCTACTTCTACGCCATTCAGAGGTACTTCCATGCCTATGCGTAGCGTATGCGTATGCATTCACATGTGCCACACTTCCAATGTCCTGTGCGGATGCACTTCCACTTTCCCCGTCTCTCTCTCTCCTAGCCTCTCTCGCTTCCTCTGCATATCAAATCGTGCACACCCTTTTCTGCTCTCTCATCCACCACCACCTCTTTTCCTCCTCTCACTGCCCATTCCCCTTTCTGTCCCGGAAATTCTCTCCCATCCCACCAGGCGAAGGAACCTGCTGCCTCTGCTGGCGGCGCTGCAGGTGCCAGTGCTGCTGGCGGTGGGTGACTCGTCCCCCTTCAACCCCCAAGCGCGCTCCGCCTTCCACCACCTGCACGCCCAGACCTCTGCTGCTTTTTACGAAAATCCGCTGCTTGCTCCTGGCGCCTCTGTTTGCTCCTCCTCAACTGCTTCTCCATCTCCCTCTCCCTCCTCCTCTCCCTCGCCTTCGCCCTCTCACTCTCACTCTGACTTTCTATCTGAGGAGGAGGAAGGGGGGTTGGAACATTCGGAAGAGGTGGGTGGAAGGGATGCGAGGGGCAGAAGGAGCAAAGGTGGGTCAGCCGCAGTGGCTGAGTGCGACAGGGTGGGAGGAGGGAGGAGGTGTGATGGGGAGTTACGGCGAGGGCAGACGGGGACTGAAGGTGCTGTCACGTTGGCTGTGGACGGGGAGGGGGATGGAGGCAGGGAGGAGAGGCGGGCAGGGATAGAGGAGCGGGAATGGGAGGAGGGGAGTGCGAGTGAGAAGGGGAGGGAGAGTGAGGAGGAGAGCAGAAGGTGTGCAAGGGAAGGAGCTAGCAGTAACAGCAGGTGCGAGAGTGAAGAGTTCAGTATCAGCAGTAGCAGGTGCGAGAGTGAAGGGGGTAGCAGCAGCAGGAGCGTGGTGTGGGTGGAGGTGGAGGCGTGTGGCTCGCTGGTCACAGAAGAACGACCCCACACGCTCCTCCCTGCCCTCTGCCACTTCATCTCACAGCTCTGCCCAGCTGTCAGCCACCCGTGGGACAGCTGTCAGCGTGCGGAGATAGGAGCGTGTGCACCATGGGAGGGTGGGTCGGCAGAAGGAACGGAGCAGGGGGGTTGGGAAGGGCAGGAGAGTGAGCAGCAGGGTCAGCAGGAATGGCAGCGTCAAGAGCAGTGGGCAAAACTCGTGAATGCGCAGCAGCAAGAGCAGCAGGATGAGCAAGCTGCAGTGCGCTTGTCGTCGACAAGGCTTCGCAGCCACCGCAACTCGGCCTTCTGCATCCCGTTCTTCCAACCTACCTCCTCTCAGCAACAGCAGCAGGAGCAGCAAGACCAGCAGCAGCAATCCCATGCCCACACCTCCAGAGTATCCCACCTCTCCTGCACACTCCTGTCCCCTACTCTCTCACACCCCCTCAAGTCACCATTCGTCTCAGGCTCCCACCTCCCCTCTCCCTCCTCCTTCCCGACCCTCATCTCCCCTTCCTCCTCCTCCCCCTCTACCTCAACCCCCTCCCTCTGCACGCCCTTCTGGACCCCGGCGTGCACCCCAGCTGCTTTGTCGCCTACCTTCACCCCAGCTGCTGTGTCACCTGTGTGCATTCCTGCACCTGCGCTCAGCCACCCACCCATGGCCAACCACAGCAGCAGCAGCGGCAGCAGAAGCATGTCGGCAGCAGTTGGGCCGGTGGTGCCACAGCCATTGGCAACAGCTGCAGTAGCGAAAGGATTTGGGCAGCAGGCATGTGCAAGGGAGTGTGGGGGGCACATTCCGGTGTGGCAGCGTAGGGAGGATGTATTGGTGAGGCAGCAGCAGCAGGAGCAGCAGCGAGAGAGGGAGTGGGAAAGGGAGAGGGAGAGGGAGTGGGAAAGGGAGAGGGAGAGGGAACAGATGCTTCTGGAGGTGGAGAGGAGGAAGCTGCAGCCGGTGCGCACGAGTGGCGAGACGAGGAGGTGGGAGGAGGAGCAGGAGGCACAGGGGATGGGGTTTGAACAAGTGTGTGGGTCACCCACAAGCTGATTGGAATCCCACAGTGGGACAAGCTGGCTCCTGACACTTCTAAAAAACTAGGAGGTGGTGGGAGGAGGTGGTGGGAAGAGGTGGCACAGGGGATGGGGTTTGAAGAAGTGTGTGTGTCGGGCACAAGATGGTTGCAACTGCGCAGTGGCCGCATTGGTGTACATGGATGGAATGCGAGCCTGCTGTGCATATTCTTTCCAATAAAGAATAATAAATATGGAGCACGAATGAGTGCTCTTTCAGGTGTATGCCTGCCGTGGATGGTCTAGGTGAACACCCACTCAGGTGCACGAGTGCTCGCGTCAACACGAGAGCTGTTGGGTGCACAAGCGCCAACGGACTTTGCATGTCTTGTTGGCCAATAGATATATGCTTACCATATTTAATGCCCTGCATACAGCATCTGCGCCTGATGCTATGTGAAGGAGGCCTGTTATATTCCTAGAATACATGCTACCATACACTGCATGTGCAAGGAAAGGAGAGCAGTGCTAACAAGGATTCTATTTTGTTTTTCTATCCATTCCATCACGTGTCACTGGCAATTGGCAACGGACGTCCAAAAAACCCTGGTTTTGTAGCACAAGGGATCACTAGACTACTGGGCCACTCACCATGAAAGAAAACATGTCATTGCATAATGAGAACCCACAAACATACCACACTAGCAACACTATAATACAGACATAGTAGGGGGGGAATGAAATAATATTTGAGATCAAGCCATGAATGCAAGTCACCATTTCTCTGGTGACCTCCCATTCAATCAAACCACCATTCAGCTGCCTCGGAGACACCCCCAGAAGGGAGAACACCACACCACAATGTCAACCAACTGCGAAACTCAATCCCAGCACCAAATTTCAGTATACCAATCAGTATACCGGACCTTGCCACACTCAACCTCACCGTGCCACACCCAACCTCACCCTACCGGATATGACCATGTCATGGCTCAGTACGGCTGAACTCCAATAACCGATGAAACAACGTGACCATCAGCGTCGCTCCACGTCATCCTTCCAAACGAGTAATCCGACGATTTGTTGACAGGGGTGATCGTGATGGTAATCGATTGCGTGCCCTTATTGGCCAGAGTGAATGTGGAGGGTCGCACAATCACTTTCACATTGGCTGGCGGCTCAAGGGTGAGATTGTACTTGCTGCGTTTCCCGCTCACGTTCACCACGCGCCGAACTACAGTGACCGTTCTCTTTAGCTGCGAAACGACGATGTTGGGAAGGTTGAGCTGGTACGCGGGGATTGGCGGTGGCGCCTGAATTTTGACTGCCGAGGCGGATTTGGAAGACTTGGGAGTTGGCTTTGGTGCGGGTTTTGTCGATAAGATGCTCAGGCTCTGCGCACGCGCCTCCTTGCTGTTGACCCCGTATAAGAATGCAATGTACTCGTTATAAGTGATGTCGAAAATCAGCCCCGGGTCGATAGCTGCCGACGGGTTGATCTGCCCGGAACCGAAATTAAACGGCGTCGCTTGACTCCCGTCCTGGTTCCGAATGGGGCTCCCGATATTATTCTGTTGAGAAGCCGACGTCTGGATTGCAGATTTGATCGCCGCGGGACTCAAAGTCGGGTTCTTCTGCATGACAAGTGCCGCGATGCCAGCGACAATCGGAGTAGCCATGGATGTTCCAGTGAGAATGCCAAATGAGACCTCGCCTTGGGGCGACGGAGCCGCGGCGAAAAGCATGACGCCGGGAGCGACAATGTCGGGCTTGAGAATGTCGTTTGTGAAGTTGGAGAGACCGGCGGGCTGCAGCGGGTTGACGAGGGGGCCCGAGGAGGAAATAGCTGCCACCTTTGGGGCCTCGTCGCTGGTGTCCCAGAAGAGCGGGGAGAGCGTACCGATGGTTCTGATGAAATGAATGGAAGTGTCAGGAGGGGGAGGAAAAAGGGTTAGACGGACATACATGAGGCGGCAGTTTACCCTGAAGAGCTGCGTGCTAGTGTAAGGCATCCATGCAGGTCAGGAGGCAAGAGTGATATGATAAGAGTTGGCGGATTCTGAATCATCTATGGTCGCACGAGCACGGTGCAAGCCGCACAGCAGCTCACAAAAGAAGCCCGGCCGGAAAGATTTCCAGCCGTACGCCCCGCGTGCACTCAAGCCGAGTATGCGCGAGTTGACCTTGATGAGCTGGCGGACGCTGAAGGTATCGGTGCATGTCATGGAGATGGCAGGATCACCAGAGGGGGATGACGGCGCCAACAGCATGACACACTGAAAGGAAACCCAGCAATGCACAACCTGTCGTGTGCACTCACGTGGAGGGTGCGTTGGCCTTGATGAGCTGGCGGATGCTGAATGCGTCCGTGTAGGTCATGGAGATGGCAGGGAAGTCAAAGTTGATCGTCTCAGTAGTTGCAGACGGGGACGATGGCGCCAGCAGCATGGCCGCTCCACCTGAAGCCGCCACCAAGGATGCCTTTTCGTCTGCTGAGCTGCCTCCGGATACACACAGCACCATCTTTCCCTGCACCAGCCAGCTTGCCAGCGATCCTGAAATGCACTGCTCCGCCTGGTGGGGTGGAAAGGAGAGTGGTGGGGGGAGGGAAAGGGGTGGAACTTTTGAGTCGACTCAAAAGACGCCGCCACCACGGACGCCTTGTGGTCTGCTGAGTTGCATCACAAGACCACCATCTTGCCGTGCACCAGCCAGCTTGCTAGTCATCCTGAGAGGCATTGCTTCGCCTGGTGGGGTGAACGGAGAGGGGAGGTGGGAGGGAACGGGTGTGTGGAGAGAAGGAAGTGTGAGTGAGGGAGGGTCGGTTGTGATGGGGCAGGGGGGTGGGAAAACGGGATGCCACTGGACCGAACAATTCCACGGGGAAAAATGTAGAACTGGATGCAAGATGTGGCTTTTATGTAAACACTGAGTCAGGCAGTGGAAATGCAGGAGGAGTCAGGCAGAGATACTCGAAACTCACTTCGCTATCTCTCGCCCCGGGCCTCTTCACATCCACGCCCAGAACGATCTCCTTGTCCTTCGTGCTGTCGTCGCCGCCCCGCCACGTCCCGCCGTCCACATACAGGCTCTTCTTTGCGAAGGTGAGGCGGGCAAGGGGCGGGAACGTTCGGCTGATAGTGCTGGCGCCGACGGTGAGGGTGAAGGGCGAGACGGAGATGAGGGCGGGCGTGAGCGAGTAGGGCGGCGGAATGCCGTTGTTGCCTGCTGCTTGCACCACAAACACACCCGCCTGGTGGCATAAGCGGCGCAGAAGGGAGGGAAGGGGAGGGGAAGGGAAGGGAGGAGAACGGGGGGAAAGGTGGGGGAGGTGAGGGTTGAAGAAGGGCAAGCAGAGACGAGAAGAGCGGAGAGTGTGGCTGCTTTGAGGAATGGCAGAACGATGGGCAAGGTTGGCAGCAGTGGCACTTTATCGGCGTACGAATCAGGGTGTCTACGCCCGCAAGATGCATGGTTATAAGAAGGTGATTTACCCTGGCAGCATTGAGCAGCGGCACTTCATCAAAGTAAGAATCAGGAAGCGCGCCGATGGAGAGGCTCAGGATATCCACACCGTCCGCCACGGCGCGATCAACGGCTGCGAGCACGTCTGCCCACGAGCCAATGGCGCCGTTGGGGGTGTTCCAGAGCGCCTTGTACATCGCCAGGCGTGCGCGCGGCGCCGCACCCGTGGCGTTGCCCAATGACTGGCTGCCACGCATGATGGGGATGTTCCTGTTGCCCCCTGCGGCTCTGTTACGAGGGAGAGAGGAAGAGGAAAAGTTGAAGGTAAGGGGGTTGGACTGGGATGCAATTTGGCATAAGAACATGAATAGAGGAAACCGAAAAAACAAAAACAAACAAACAAGCGAACAAGGGGGTTGTGGAAGAGGGGTGGAGGGAAGGAGGTGCGGGAGAGGAGGGAAAGTTGGAAACCAAGAACTTATAAACAAGGGCGACTAAGCAAGTTGGAAGCGAGCGGGGCGGTGCGAGGGGAAACTCACCCCGCACACCAGGTGCCGTGGCCAGTAGCGTCGCGAGGTGACTGGAACTCGTTCATCCAATCGATTTGCGAGTTTACGTCTGTTGGGTCTTGTTCGCTCAGCAGCCCATCGACATACCACTGCGCGCCGATGAGCTTCGAATTGCACGGCGGGAAATCGTCCGTCGCGTTGCACCCGCCCTTCCACGTCTTTGGTGGCACTCCGTATGGATTCGTGGGATCCTGAGAAAAAAACAACAAACAAACAAACATCAGGCGTGGCAATATGGAATAGGGGCACTTGCCGGAAACAGGTAGGCAATGAGCTGAGTGACAGCCAGAGAAGCGGCTGGAGAAACGCAAGGGATATATAGGATCAGTCTAGCTCGGCTAGAACCTAGAACTCGGCTGAAGAATCTGAGGCACAGGATTCAAGGTATTATTATAGGAAAAAAGGCGTACGTCATTGCACGACTAACTCCTACGTCAGCAATCGTGCTTACGTCAGCAAACGAGGGATGCTCCGGCCAGATGCCCGTGTCTACGATTCCGATGACGATTCCCTCGCCAGCGTGCTCCGGGCCGCCGACGAATGGCCACGTGCCACCTGGCACGTTGAGGAAATCCATGGCGCTGCTCGTGAACCCCGTCACTAAGCCGGGCCGCCGAATGTCCTCCACCGTCGGATCGCTCTGCAGGCGCTCGACCTCGGACGGCGATAGGCGCGCGGTGAACGAGTTGGTGACGTACGTGTAGCTGTTGGCGGGGCACGCGCGGCACGGACCAAGGGGAGGGGGAGAGTTGGAGAGGGGGGGGAAGGAAGAGATGGACGGAGGGGGGGAAGAGAAATGGGGGAAGGGTAAGAGGGATCTTAAGCGGTCGTACTCGGGGGAAGAAAAGAGCATGCGCTTGTTCGTCCCCATGCTACTTCCGCGTATCGACTCCGTCCCCGCCTCCCCAAACACCTTCCGGTCATGCCGTTTCGCGTCATGCCCTTCCCTCCTTTCCGCGTCTGCCATCCGTCACCTGCGCCAGGCCGTGTGCTGCACCTGTGCGGACGGCACGGCTCACCAAAGCACGATCGGCGACGCCCGCGTCTGGCATCTGCCGCCTGCCGTCACCTGCTGAGAACTATCGGCGCGCAGCAGGGAGCCATCGGCGCGCAGCAGGGAGCCATCGGCGCGCAGCAGGGAGCCACCGGCGCGCAGCAGGGAGCTATCGGCGCGCAGCAGGCTCACCTGTGCACGATCTGCGACGAGCTGATATCCGCCTTCTGCACGGCGCTCTTGTGCCGCTTCTTGAGAAAGCTCACGAAATTCTTCACCAGCGGCGACCGCGCGTTGAATCGCACGCGGTTTCGCAGCTTCCGCAGCAGCCCGTTGCGTGACAATCCGCTCATCATCGCACTCGCGGCGCCTATCAGCGACTTGGCGAGCGCCTGCGTGGCCTCCGCGATTGGCGGCGGCGCGGTCGCGTCGAAGCCGGCGATGCCGCCCTCGTAGGAGAGCACGGGCGGCGCGTCGTTCATTCTGACGACGTAGAGTTTCCGACCGTCATTGTCTGGTGGAGGCAGGCAGGGAGGTAAAAGGCGGAAAACCGAAGGCAAGTGTGAGGGCACACATATCGGATAACTTACAACCATCGAGGTCTGGAGGAAGAGTAGGAAGGGCACAGAGATTAGAGAGCGAGAGAGAAGGGCGGTGGGGAAAAGGGGAAGCGGTGAGGGAGAAGAAACGGGGGCAAAAAGACGAGACGCGGTGGGGGAGGGAACAGGCGGGCGCAGGGAGAGGAGGGACGGAGGCCGGAAAAAGTGTGGGCGCCGTGGAAAGCGGTGGAGCCTCGTCTACTGTAGAGATCTGGCTGCTTGGTCAGAACGCTCTAGTCCTCTCGTCGCATCCGTCCGGCGATGGTGGCGCGACGGATCTCGGAAGAGAATGCGAAAAGGACGACGAGGGGGAAGGCGGCGAGCGAGCGGGTAACTACGACGACTCCCCTCCACCACTACCCCACAGTGCATTGACTACGGGCTACGAGCTATGTAAGACTCGCCTCCCCTCCAACAAGGCTCCCAAGCACCGATTGCGTTGTTTGCGTGTCGCGTCGTCTCTTGCTGAGTCGAAGGGCAGTGACACCACGAGCAGCGCCGCGAAACCCACCCCTGATTGGCGCCTCGTGTTCGCAGACTCGCCACCGATTCGTAACCCGTTCCCAAATACATATTTGTTCCTCCGCATTCACTCCCCACCTCGCGCACCGCCTGCCGACGCTCTCCGTCTCCCTGCCTACAGACGAGCGCTAGCCCACCGGGTGAACTAGTGAACACGCTGAATCTACAGAGAACCATAACGTCTGCACGAAATCGATGACAGGATAACCGGCGTGGTCTTCGTGGGGTGCCCGTTGCAAATTACGTGCTGAATCATGCGACTAGCAGCAGCGGCTACCCTGTGGACCCCTACGCGTGCCCGAAACCGCCAGATTCGGAATTCCCCTCGTCACGTCTCCGACGTGCCGCCTTTCGAAAAACACGGCCGGTTTACCAGCACGCCCGTGGGATGCGCTTTTCGACGTGTCTTCCGCGCTTGCTCGAAGGATGAGGACAGGACTTGGAAATCAGTCCGGGGGATAGGGAGTGAACGGAGGAAAAGGGGGGTGGTGGTGGGGGTGGAGGAAGGAGGGGGGATCGAGGGAGGGGAAATCGACGAACCTGCGCGGGTGAGGGAGAGGAGCACGAGCAGCAGGCAAATGCGCGCAAACCACGGAGGGCCCATCGTCTGGCTCGGCGCGCGCCGATGAGACGGCGAAGAGGGGTGCTGTGCTGTGATCTACGGCGAGCAGCGCCCGAGAGATATAATCAGGAACTATGGAACACGCGCGAGTACGCTTATAAACATGAAGTATTAGGCAAAGGTATGATTGATGAGGAGCTGCTAAGAGCTAGGAGCAAGAGTATTTATCAGGACTACTAGCAAGATGGGAGTGAACGACGAGGTGAGGAGACGTGGAGGTAAGCACGGGTGGAGAGGGTTGGAGGAATGGAACAAAGTGCGCACGGAATGGAGCAAATGGAACACGCGGCTAGCAAGTTAGACTGCTATGTCTAGTTGGCTAGCGGCGGCTGTGGCAAAGAGATTAACGACGAGCTGAGAAACCGCGAAACTGGGCTTGACTTGAGTTCAAGTGGGTTCCTCTCGTGTGGTATGCTTGGTGGTTGGTTGTGAAATGATGCGGCGCTATTCTTGCGAGTGAGATGAGCATGGGATGTTCTTGGGTTGTGTCGGGTCGGGTGGTGTGGTGTACGGTTTGCGACAATGACCATTGCGTGGAGGTACGAGCAGAAGGGGAAGAAGAGGGAAGAACATGCTTCTTTGCAGGGAATTGTACAGTACAGTACAGCGTAACAAGGGCAAGGCAAGGGATTGCGGTGCGGTGGAGGTGTGTGTGGTTTGGTTGTTGTTCCTGTCTGGGTGCACTGTGGTGGAAGCCAAGCCGCAGGCGAATGCTCAAGATGGCCGCAAGCAGTGCTGCGGTGCGGATAGGCAGCTGAGGGAAAGGGAAGAATGGAGGGGCGGTGGCGGTGGGGTCACTCTTCACCAGTTGCCTGTCTGCGCGGTCCATCTCCTTGCGAACAAAAGATGGATCTCCTCTCCATGATGAAAGGGAAGAAGGGGAAGACTGGCTGGCTGGTTCTGGTGGAGGAATTTAGAAAGTACGACAGCGATAGGCACTTCGGCGAGAGTCGCCCCGGCGAAATCATAGCATCAAATTTCGCAAATGTGCTTAGACGACGGATCTAGTTGGCACAATGTAACTGAACGAAGGATTGCGCGATTGCCGATGAGCTGCTAGAATGATAGGTTATCGGATTCTCTTGTCGTTTTTCAAGCGTCGTGGAGCACAGTCAGGTGCATGTCGCATTACCAGGTGGTTTCAACAGATATCAGTTCAGTGAGACGTTCGAATTCGATGCCGCAACCGAACTCACGGTGTGCCTTGTATAGTGCACAGTAACGTATGCAAACAATCAACTACATATGTTGATATGATTTGTTCAAGGATTTTTTTTCGACATTCCAGCGCACCTCAGCAGCGCGTACAAGCAACCTTTTCTTCGCCCGTTACTGATTAACGGTGTACGCCACTTCGCGCAGAACATATCCCAAACCACGCACTGCTGGACTGGCCGAGTCGGCCTACGTTTCGGGACTAGCCCGAACCTCGCAGCCAGCATCGCACTAGCTAGCTCGCACGCACCACTTTACCGTTTGTTGTTTTCGCTATAAATGTTCGCTCACATGTACTCGTTTGACTCCTTAGTACAATCTTCACTCGCTCGTTCAATTGCACCCTCAACAATTGGCTATCGTAACTACTTTCCTTAATACCACGCAATTTTCCGCAACCAGGCCTCTTTGTTCTGCTAACTGCGTCCCCCCATGTAGCTGCGTCCGGTCAGGTTGCTGCGTTGTGCTCCTGGCAGTCACTCACTCACCCGATCGTCCTGTGGCACCACCGTCTTGGTCATCCGTCCCTCCCACGCCTTCGCAACGTGGCTAGCCAGCGTATTCTCTTAGGTCTCTCGCGCGTCTTTGCGTCACTCCTTCCTTCGTCTGTGCCGTCGTGCACTCCTTGCGTCGAGGGTTGGCTGCGCGCCACTCCTCACTCCTCCTCCCTTCGTCCGGCCACTGCACCCTTCCAGACTCTCTGCTTGGACGTATGGGGCCCAGCCCCTCGGCTTGGGCCCGAGAGGGAGCGTTTCTTTCTGGTGGTCGTTGACGACTACTCCACGTACACCACGGTGTTTCCTATGGCGAAGAAGTCCGACGTGACTTCTACGCTGTGCAGGTGGCTGCTGGCCACTAAGACACTCGTGGTAGTCGTGTCCTTTGTCTCCACTCCGGCCGTGGGGGTGAGTTTCGCTCCGGCGTGCTTGCCGGATTCTGTAGCGAGCGTGGCATCACCCAGTCCTGGACGCTTCCGGAGTCCTCACAACAGAATGGGGTTGCTGAGCGCCGCATAGGCTTAGTCATGGAGATCGCCCGCACCTCTATGATCCATGCTCGTGCGGCCCATTTTCTGTGGCCCTACGCGGTTCGCTACGCCGCCCACCAGCTAAACCTCTGGCCTCGTGTCTCACGGCCAGAGGCTTCACCGACCAGTCTTTGGACCGGGTCTACTGGTGTTGCGTCGGAGTTTCGTGTCTGGGGTTGCCTTGCCCTTGTCAGCGACACCACTTCGGATAAGCTCTCGGCTCTTACTGCCACTGTCGGTGACTTTCCTGCCACTCGCCGCCTTGACTACGCCACGCGTGTGGTGGCTGCTCCACCCACCCGTCCTCTGCCCACCGGGGGCGAGTCTGCCCTTAGCGGTGACGTCCTAGAGGACAGGCATTTCGAGCTGGAGTTCTTGGCAACCGCGTCTTTCTCTCTCTATGCCATGCTGCTATCCCCCGAGGGAGACCCCAACGCACTTGACATACCGACTCCTCGCACGTACCGTGAGGCAGTGTCAGGACAATGGGCCTCTCAATGGAAAGCGGCCATGGACTCAGAAATGACGTCTTGGTGATCCACAGGCACTTACGTCGACGCAGTTCCCCCTCCCAGGGCGAACGTTGTCGATGGCATGTGGCTCTTCAAGGTGAAGCGGCGCGGCTTCTCCACTGCCTTTCTCCAGAGCCGTCTGCACGAGGAGATCTGGCTGCGACGTCCTCCTTGCTTCACTGGCACTTTCCCACATGGGACTTAGTGGAGCCTGAGGCGACCAGTCTACGGTCTCCGCCAATCGCCCCGTGAGTGGCACGACATGCTACGCACCACTCTTGCTGACCTCGCACCATCACTCTGACTCAGTCACACATGGTGGAGCAGGTACTTCGACGGTTCGGGTTTCAGTTCTCCAGCACACAGCCCACTCCTCTTGCTGTTGACCGCGGACTCACCGGCCCTTTTCCCGACGAGCCATTTGAGTCGAGTGGTCCCTACGCAGAGCTTGTGGGCTGCCTCGTTTACCTGATGACTTGTACTTGTCCGGTCCTCGCCTTTCCCCCGGCGTCCTTTTCCGCTTTGTTGCGACTGGGAGGCACCGTCCTATTCACTGGACGGTTGCTGTGAGGGTGGCGAAGTACCTGTCGATTACATCAGGCTTGAGGCTTGTGCTTGGAGGGAGAGAGCCAGTTGTGCTGACCGGTCACTGCGACTCTTCCTACGCCGACAACGTGGAGACCCAGCGGTCGACTCAGAGGTACTGTTTCAACTTGGGTGCTGGAGCTGTGTCGTGTCGGTCTACTCGGTCGTCATCTATTGCTACCTCCCAACACCCCCAGAGTCCACTGCAACCTGTCGCGGTAGTGCCAAAGGCTGCTGCGGTGACTGTGAGGACGATTGTGGGGAAGGAGACGACACCTGACGTGCTACCGAAGGGAGAGGGGTAGCGTGAGACACACCTGACGGGGAAGGACCAGGGGGGGGGGAGCGGAGGAGCAGGACCAGGAGGAGGAGTGGGAGCTAGAAAGAGGGGAGGAGGGGCAACCGGGAGACTGCGGAAGGGGAAGCGGGTGTAGTAGGACACAGACTCGTCAAAGCGGACGTTACGGGAGTCAAGGAACCAGCGGAGGGGCGGGTGGTAAAACGTGAAGTCTGG